TTACCGGGATCTTCGTTACGCATTTCGTAGGCTGATGTTCCTAAGCCTGAACACAACCAACACTTCCACTACACCGACGCTCAATTGTTTTCCAGTAGCCAGTCAGGCTGGAATTCATGCTGTGGATGAATCCTCGAGTCTGCATCTCTCTCAACTAATTCTCCTGCCGACTTCTACTTTCATTGACTTCCAACACGCCCATATCCAACACCCTAACTTCAATTCATACGCCCTCCGACCCAGATCAATTCCGGATGACTTCACGAATCCTAGGACCCACAAATACTTTATCGAGGTTCTAATGTGCTAAGGCGTACATTTCATGGTCGCTGTAGACGTCGGCGAACGTCGGTGATGGAGACAGTCCCATCGGTAATGCTTCCTACCCCGTCGTGTGCCTTTCTGTCTGTGCCAATTCTCGAGACTCTCCGCGCAATGCTTTGCTCGCTCTGCATCAAAACGTAGCGTATTGTCTAAGAAGATATAAAGTCACCCATCTATGCTCAACAGCTAACAAAGTGTCTATGAACAGCTGTGTGCAACGGGTACTGTGGGCGTCGCAGCCGTCGGTTTCGCTTTTGGCCATCCGCAACATTCGGCCGCTGCAAGACCGACATCGAACAAGAGGAGAACTATATCTAGAGCTGGCTTGGATGACTTTCAACCTCTTTCCAACACGCCAACAACACCATCAGCGCTGCCCCAGACTGCCCCTGCTCCATCCTCAAGACTTCGAAAGCGAACCTCTCTTGGCCGGCCCCTAACGTCGTCGAATAATCCAAGAGGCGGAACGAGAACGGTTGGCTCGACACCCGACACTAGGGTTGATGCCGAATTTGGGGGAGGGGAGACAGGGCATGCTTTGCTGCAAGAGCCTGAGCTTTCCACAGGCCACGGACCTTTTGCGTTCGAGTTCAAAGGCTCGGAGAATACTCCTCCTCCAAATTGGCTCAGGCGCATCTCGAGATCATCTCTCAAGGGTGGAAGTCCTACGCCCACCCCTCGGCCGCGCTCGCCGTCCATGTCCTACTCCAATGGTTCAACAGCACCGATTTTACCTAGCTTTGGTGAGCCATTGGCCGGCACATCATCACGAAATAAGCTAGTGAAGCGAAGCTCTTCACAAAGGGCCCTACATGGTTTCGACCGTAATGCTTTACATTCCACGCTTCGCAGGCCGGCCACCAGCCATCAAAGATCCGCAACGCTTCAGCAGCAGTTTTTGCAGGATCAAGAGACACGTCGACCGTCTTTGGGCGCCTCATCCATGTTGCTCAACGATCTTTCCGAGGATCATCATTCATACGACGAATCGTCGCAATTGTGGCAACCTTTCTTCAAGCCCCAACTTCCAGGAACAATCAAAGATGGTTCTTCACGGAAACGTAGTGCAAATGGAATGCTGAACCGGAGTGACACACCTAAGAGTATCGTTCCAGGCATCACCGAACTGCCTACTCTACTTCTGGCGACATCCATCAGTTCACGATCTTCAAACGAAGGCACCAATGGCCGTGCGTCGAATATCTCCGCTCTTAGCAGACCCTTCACTCCTGGCGGATTGAATGACTTCCCCTCTCCTGCAGTCGATCAGACAAAAGATGATGTCAATGCCACTCCCGAGCTCAAGCAAAGACGTTCATTTTCCATCAGTGAAATGTTTCCGTCACCGTCGCCCTCGACGTGGATGCCCCGCTTAGGCAGCCTTAAAAGAGGTAAAGGCTTTAGCAGGAACACCGCCGACAGGAGGGTCGTCTCTGCCCCACAAGCTTCCAAGACCCGTATAGGCGCCCCATTTATTCCGGTTCAGGGAGCTGTCGGAAGGCCGCCCACACCCACCAGCCGCCACTTTATGGAGAGTCAGACAAGTCCTTTCGAGGCGCACTCACGTCCTACCAGTGTCCAGCAGAGGGGTGCGTCTTCGCCGCTTCCACCGCTGAACCGTCTGTCCGCTTTCGAGGTTAATCTTCCAGGCACCAATCCCTCGTGCCCTACAACTCCGCAGCCAGAGGACCCGACTTCCCCGCGCGTCCCATCTGGGCATTCTTCTCTATCGACGTCATATCCCATGGGCCAAGCTATAACTAAGACCAGGGCTTACCGTTACTCATCGAATCCGTCAGAGCATGGCTCAACTCTTTTAGGATCGGACAACGAGAACAGCCGTCTGATGTCAGGCGACGAAGACGATATGGATTCTCGAAGCGGCACTATGTATGATTCTACGAGAACTGGTGCAACAGGTAGTAGTCATTCTGGCGTACGGAGGCCTCCTATCGAAAGGATATTCGACGAGTCCTCACTTCCCCAACTGCCTTCCAAGGATAAATTAATAACGTTGCAGGATCTGCTGGCACACGAGTCATTCGTGCACACTGATCAAAGGGGGCATCGTGCTGTTGAGGAGGAGCAGGATGTGTCGACGCCCGTTCGAGATACTGCTTTATGCAAGGACGATGATAGCTCCACTCCCATGCATGAAACCAGCAAAATTTCTTCTGACGTTTCTCCATCTCCGCCCATCGCTCAGATGGAGCCCAGAACGTCAGGTCCTTCTGCTCGAGATATGGAGATCGACCAAGAAGACGAGTTGTGGTCTTTTGATCCAACGGATGACTTGCATAAAGCGGGTAATGGTGCAAGTTTCCCATCACCAAGCGAAGGGAGTAAAACCTCCTTGGCCCATCCCGGTGGAGACCTATATGGCAGACGAGAGTCTCCACCTAACGATCGATTAGAGATGCCGTCGAAGTCGAACATCTTTGAGTGGTCAGAACCTCCCACGACGGATAAAGACACTTTGGAAGGAGAATCGCCTCGGCCAAAGACAGTTCATGGCAGACAGGGCATAGATATGCGCGGGAGTCGTCCAACTGGACGTCGGGGTCTCAGTGCTCTACATCTGCGGAGCCAAAGCGTCCCTGTCCCGAAAGATACGGGGAGTTATCGCAATGGCAATAATCCACCCAAGCTTCTGGGCAACAAAGGTCCCAGCGAGGATTGGGATGGCGATTTCGACTTTGACGAGCCTTCTCGTGGTCCCAAACAAGCAACAACCAGCACCGATTACATACACCCCAGCCTTTCTTCTGGTATGCTCGTTCCTCGTGCCATTCTAGAGAGACAAGCCAGCGTCCACGGGCAGTTCGGTCAGGTCAAAGAGTTGACTCTGCTTGTGGAGGAGCTAAAGCGGCTTCAACAACAAGCTAGCGGTCAGGGCATTATGGAGGGTCAATCTATTGAGCTATGGAAGGAGGCAGAGGGTATCATTAATCTCGCCACATTGGATGATGAGAAGGAGCTATTTCCGCCACGATCTCCTCACTCTCCGAGTTTTGACTTCGATCTGTTCGACGAAGACTCTCCTCGGAGTCGACGGAGATCAGGGCTCTCGCCTTCCAAAGAGGACCGGATGAGTTTAGTGGATGAATCCTCCGGTTCACAGCCCTCGTCAAGACGGTCATCAGAACTTCCAAAACTCGAGTCATCACCGCCGACCTCCAGGCCGCGCAAGGAGTCGTCGGCCAAAGCCAAGTCTGTCCTTGAGACTATCCATCAACAGCGCAGACATTACGAGCCGGAACTCCTCGACGCGAAGCTCGCTCAGAAGAAGCTTCCTTTCGACACCACTTCCCTCAAAGACCTTGTCACACGAGCCGGCGTTGTCACTCGGGCTCTGAAAGAAATAGTCCGCCGAGCCGAGAATGGTCCAGAGACACCGGATTCTCGACCCACCACACCTAGAGATCCGCCTTACACTCAGATGTTTCAACAAGCTCCTCCCACACCTACGATCACCAAAAGTCCTCGCGTCACGCAGAGTCCTAGAAGCCCTAGAAGCCAAAGAGGCAGTCCTTTCCTGGGGGGAAGCATTGCTGGCAATGATAATGACATCAACGGACATATGAAAATCATGACAGTTGTCTGAGCAGGCTGGATCATTGTATTAACGCCAGCCCTTGGCCTTGCGGCACCGTTAAAGATGCCCCAAAACCATCGCTTCAATTCTTGTACCATACCATGTAATCTCGCATAGAACTCGTTCCTTTTAACACTCCTCACAGCATTTTAGCGACCTCGGATACGCATAATTCAGCGAATACACAGCGCAGCGGCGTCTAGCGCATGAGGCTATTGCTACTACTTCATTGTTACAGGACGTTTCTATCAAGCGTCTTCTTTCTTCGATTCTTCAATTCACGCTGCTTTCATTTTTGCATGAGAGACGGGATTACGGGACGACACAAAAGTATAGGTATGAATATGGTTGTCGAACATGTGTGTCCGATGACTGGATCACGGGGAGGAACTTTTAATAAGAGGTGCTAGCATGCATTGTGGGCGGCAGACGGCGAAAAGTCGAGGATATGACGGAAGACCATTGTACAAAGGGCAGGCAGGCATATCAGACGAAATCCAAGATGTGCTGTATCATGCCTGCGCACTGAGTGAAACCTGACACTTCCGACCCTCCTGCACACCGACTCCGCTCCCGATCCCACTCCCTCCTTGTGCGATCGCTACAGCACAAGCGTCTCCCCACACACACACACACCATCTGTTCCAACACCGAACCCTTCAACCCACGCAAGGACGAACATCCCCTTTTCCTTCCTTCAAACAAACCAACCCCATCCCTCCATCTCCCCCACCACCCCACCCCAACCCAACCCAATCGCCTCTCCAACCCCTTCCTTCCTTCCTTCCTTCCTTCCTTCCTTCCGCCATGACACTCCCGCCCCTCTTTCACCATCCCCCTCTTTCACCATCCTCCTCTTTCACCATCCCCCTCTTTCACCATCCTATCTTCTTCCCCCCCGCCACCACCACCCCTTTCACGGCGCCACACCCACAATCGTCGCATCTGCACCCGACCAGGACCGCCCGCTCCGACACTTCTATCCATTCCTGGGCTGAAGTGGGAGCATCGTTGCTTTTCGATCGATCGATCTATCTATTTCTCGGTCTATATATCTATCTATCTATCTATCCATGGCAGTCTAGGCTCCATTGCTGGGGGGGGGGGGCCGTTCTTCTTCTTCGTCTTCTCCTTTTCCTTCTTCTCCTTCTTCTTCTTCGTCTTCTTCTTCTTCTTCTTCGTCTTCTTCTTCTTCTTCTTCTTCTTCTCCTTCTTCTTCTTCTTCTTCTTCTTCTTCTTCTTCTTCTTCTTCTTCTTCTTCTTCTTCTTCTTCTTCTTCTTCTTCTTCTTCTTCTTCTTCTTCTTCTTCTTCTTCTTCTTCTTCTTCTTCTTCTTCTTCTTCTTCTTCTTCTTCTTCTTCTTCTTCTTCTTCTTCTTCTTCTTCTTCTTCTTCTTCTCTCTTCTTCTTCTTCTTCTTCTTCCTTCTTCCCTGTGTTGTGGGCGAGCGATCGATCAAAGGAGAGAGAGAGAGAGGAGTGCTCAACTTCGTGCTTTCTGTCTGAGCCCGGCTGACGGTTTTGGATGGGTCGGTTGGTTCTACGGACGGACGGATTTGCATAGGGGGGGGACATGGGCCTGCCGACAGATCAGCGATGTCGGGATTGCATTCGGCTTTGTGATCATTTCGTCCACGTCGAGTGAGTAACTTCGATGAGTTCTACGGTAGGGTTTGCATTCTTGCCATTTCCACCTTGCTGCAGCGTCCATGTCAACGTTATCTATGTGCGTGAACGGTGACAAATGAAATCTCAATTCTTCAAACACAACAAGTTCACCGTTATTATGTTGTATCTCAGCTCTAAATATCTAACGCTGAAAAGGTAGAAGACCATGGGAATGCATGATAGTCTAGATGCGATCTCCAGAAAGCTCTGGAGAGCCAAAAAAACGGCGCCACCACCCCTTGGACCTGAGGACCAAGGACCACGCTTTCCTCCGCCGTCTAATCCATGAGTGCTGGATAGGAATGAGAAGCTTTTCAAGCGAGCTCTCTTCTCCCTACACCATTCATCAAACGCTTCGAAGCGTATGCCCGAACAGAAGGTTCAGATGTCTCCAATCACAGGCGTGAGGCTTCCAAAATCTTGTTTCACCCAAAGTTCATCAGATCATGCCCTGCGTAGAGTAACGAATTCTGCTCTTCAGGATCCTCCCTCATCTACTCTGGGGTTGCACTTTTCAATGCTGCATTCAAGCTCTGCTGCATTGGACTGGGGGATAGCTGAGCAACAGGCGGTATTACCGCCGGAGTACCAGCCACTCCAAGGCCTGGCGCTGCACGAGGTGGACTGTGCTTTGTTGGCGAGAGACCTGGCGATGAGGGCGCGTTGCTCTGTAGTGGTGGTTGGTGCGCAACTGGACTAGACGATGGCGGCTGCATTTTCTTCGATGCGGCGGCGGGCGATTGCTGCTTCGTGGGTGAGAAAGCGGGTGGTCCGGTTGCTGGAAGAGGTTGATTTGGGGAAGCACCATTCGTGTGAGGTGTCGGATGCTGTGGAGAATGATGATGCGGTGGGTTGTATAATGGAGGACTATTTTGAGGAGGGGACAAGGAGGGACCATTTTTGTCGGGCGAGGGGACATTGTGGGTTGAATGAGAGGCTGATGGGGTTTGACGATCGAAAGAATTAGTGAATGGGTTTTGAGATGGTGGAGGCGGGCCGTACGCCTCAGCATGCTGAGGTTGCTGGGTTGGTGTATAGCGTGCTGACCAGCCTACATTGTGAGGCTGATGGCTGCTTTGATAAGCTCCATTCGCGTCAAGCGATTGGAAAGCTTGTGGTGGAAGCTGGGGTACATATCCGTTATGTGGGGTTACATGGTTGTTATAGCCATTGGCGTATGCGGGAGGGCCAGGCGGTGATCTGAGACCTGGCGGAGGTGCATCTGGATACGCTCTCCTGGTAAAGAAGCTCTCCTCCTGGTTACCAGCGTAGATACTTTGCCGTGGAAGCTGACCTTGCGGAGATAACGTTGGACCATTCATTACGGCTGCATGCATGCCGTTCTGTCCGTTGTGAGGTGCGCGAGGGTTATGAGCGTTTGGACGATGGTGGTTGTTGCTGTCCACTACTGGCTTGAATTTCTTGGAAGGGGGCAATTGAGATCTCTCCTCGCTTGACTTGCGCTTCTTGTCCTCGTTCGTGGCCGAGATTTCCAGTTTCGGTTTCTGTTGGGGTGGTGAAGATGAAGATCCAATACGAAATTTGAGACTTGGGATCTTGGGCTTCTTCGCATCTTCTTCTCGGCGTTTACAATCTTGACAGATAAAATGGAAGTCGTCCTTTTCGGCATCTGTTTGAGAGATACCTAGGCATGCACTGTGTTGCCAGACATTGCATTTTTCACATGCTACGCTGTGAGAGCCATCGTCCTTGTAGATATCACGGTCAACGTCCTCAACTTCAAAAAGCTTGGAAGTCGTCACTTACGAGATTAGTGCCGTGCACTCCGCACTTTGAGCAATCGAAGACCCATTCGTCGTCTTCCGCTAGTGCTGCAAGCTCCTTCATCCTCTTTTCTATCTCCGTCTTCAGATGCCTCTCAGACTTCTTCGCCTCACCAGCTTCCACCTTCTTGTTCTCTTCCGAGAGATTGGCCAATTCCTCCTCTTGTAGGATACGCTTGTACTCTCTTTCCTTGAGTCGTTGTTCACGAGTCAACATGCGTGACTCTCGATCCTCCTCCATCCTCTTCTGCTTCTCCTGGTTCTGCTTCGCTGCAACAAGATCAGCCTTTCGCTTTCGCTCCGCTTCAGCAACTTCCTGCTCTTGTCGTTCCCTCTCCATCTTAGCTTCGAGCCTGCTAGATCGCTTGGCCGTAGCCAGCTTCTGCATATTCATCAGCTCCCGTTCTTGCTTCTGCTTTTTTCTGACCTGTGACTCTTCCGCCTTCTCAATAACCGGCCAGACTTCTTCCTTGATCCGTCGATAAAGATCCTTCTCATCTGGATCCCTGCTCTTCTGTATTGATTCCAAGAACTCCTGATATTGGCCAAGCGTAATAGCAATGCATTCCCACTTTCTCCCGCCAAAACCATCATCCGCTTCGTTCGCCCCAGCATCTCCAACCTCTGCCGGCGTATCATTGTCGGCATCATTCGCCGAATCTTCGGGTTCTATTGTCTTTCTCCGCTTGCTAGCTCTAGCAGCGGCTTTACCCTTCTTCGATTTCGATTTCGCTTTAGGGGCAGGAGGAGAAGGCGGTGGAGGATCGGTGCGGCGATATAGACGATTATCGTCGAGAACAAAGTAATAGCGCTCATGCTTATCATATCCAACTTCTTCAATACGCTAGATGCCGAGCTACCTTAGCTGAAGTATGTGAAGAAGGGCAAGGGCCATACCCATTGTGTTTGCTCACTGTCCTTCGCCTCAGGCATTCTCTCCCTCATTCGGTCGGCATTGATCAGGGTCCATTGTGAGAGTTGGACAAGCACTTTCAGCTTGAGGAAGACGTCAAATTCGGGGAACTTTCGGGGCTCCTCATCTATGCCGAAGGGGTTTCGGCTGGGTGCTTTTGCCACGTATTGGCGACGTGTGTATTCATCAAATATCTCTGGACTTTGAAAATATTATTAAAAGATACTTAGAAACTATTGGCAGTACTCACGTAAGACCTCTATGTGAAGACACATATTTCAGAAGTGCGAGTCCGATGTCTGATAAGACCTGGGAGGATTCTGGCTTGAGACATTCGGTCTCGAGGTCCTGAGTTAAGAACAGACTTAGCTTGAGATGTCTCAGACAGAGAACAGATGTTTGACAGCTCATGGAGCAAAGGGCGGCGGGGGTTTGGGAGAAGTACCTCGATGGTCAAATCTTCGTCAATTTTCACCGCCTTGCCGAAGATATAGATATATTGCATGAGGTTGGCCAACTCCCATGTGTTCCGAAGCTTGTCAAGCATGCTTAATTCTGGTGCAGGCTCCGAAAATTCCATCTCATCACGGTTACGCTTGCGGGAGCCCATGTTAACGGGGCCCTGGGGAGGTCTGTGAATTATAGAGTTCTGTTTCCAGGAGGGCAGACTCAGTCAGTATATGGTAAGATGACACCCGTGAATAGTCGATTAAGCAGTTCCGGGAAGCTATTGTCTATGGAGAGAAGCTCACAGAGCAAAGTCGGCGATGGTCACGAGTGATGTTGAATTGGCCTTGAATTTCAGCATCATCAAGGACGCGATGCGATTTAACGGCGGGAACGCTAGTGAGAAGCGCGCTACGGCAATCAGCCTTATCACTGTTCGAGGACTCTCCAATGGGCAATTGAGACAATCACTGAGCTCAATCTTGAGCGCTATTGACCAATATTGTAATTCACTCCTTCAGCTTCGGGATTGTCCTGTGCCAAGCGCATCAAGTGCACGCTGCCATAATGATATCTGTTATTTACTTGTACAGCCTCAGCAGAGCTGAGCAACACGAGATCTTAGAGTACAGGACAAGAGAAAGGCAGTGCACCACGGGCATGCATCATCCACAGAATCCCAACTTGCATACTAGATTGTTGAAAAACGCCAATGTCCTTGCTCCTTTCCAATTGAAAATGCTTTTGAAATCCTAATGATAAATCTCATCCCTTCAATCCAAAGCGCACCAGGGTATTTCTATGCATGTGAAAACCAGCCGTCCCTGATGCACGCATATGCTACAGGCCCAAAATCGTATCAGGGGTATATCTTCCGGGTATTCGTGAACTGTCATTCGTAATTGAAGAGGCGCAGGCATTACATTCCTTGACTGTTCGAGCTCTCGACCACATTGTCTGAGAGGTTGATGAGTAGCTGGGCAAGGCAGCGTTTCGTAGCGGCGTCATCACGAAGGACCGAAGAGAAGGTCGCATCCCGGAGAGGCTCGGGTAGACATTGACGGAGAGCCTCGCGTGCACGGGCATTGTCACTCAGTCTAGTGTACATTTAGCTGCTATGCGATTCCATTTTGTCAATGGAAGGACTGACCTGAGAAAACATCTAACGACGTGTTTCAAGAGCCGCACAGTTTGCTGTTCAACGAGCTGAGTGACCATATTACTAAGTACTGTGCCGACGGCGTAGAACCGCTCATAGGTGTGGCAAATGTACCCCAGTCCGGTATCGTCTAGAAGTATTTTTTGTACAATGAATATGGCAACGGTCTTGCTCAACTCCGAGCCAGTCTCCATGATCCGAAGGCACAGTGGTATGATTTCGGTGGTCAACAAGAAGTTGATCACTTCACTCGAGTCATTCTTGACTAAGGCACCGATAACGCCAAGGGATGTAAGACGGAGATACTCGAACGGTCTTGACTTTGATGTTGTGTTCAAGAATGGGTATAGGAAGAGAGGTATATGCGCTAGCACTGAGTTAGCCGCCACTCGGGCATGTGTGAACAGCATGTGCGTACCATTGAGGAACAGCCCACGGGTCTCGTTGTGCGAAGCTACGCACTGAAGCAGCGCAAGAGCGTTGCACACACGGTTTGAGGCGGCGGCTGTCAGTTGTGATGGGTTGAGTAGAGGGTAGACTGAGATGATCTCTTGGAGCAGAGAAGTCATGACACCTTATTGTTAAGTCAAT